TGAACTGCCTTCTAGAAATCCACCTGGAGGCATCAGGTAAGCAAGAATGAATCATGATCAGGAACGGAAATTTAGAAAAAAACAAAATGTGGGAGTTGTTAATGGGCGGGGGTGTTTGAGGCCATGGACTGAGTGAGGCCTCCTAGAGAAGAGTAGTTGCCAAAGAGTGTGGACCAACCACCAGGCCCCTGGACCCTCATTCCAACTTTGGACGCCAGTGACAGAGGAGGAGGGGGTGGGGAAGGCAGGAAGGAGAAAAGAAGAGGACCTTGTTCTGGGAGCCCAGGCAGGAGAGTGTTTCGAGAGGGAAGCACCAACTTTGACAAAGGTTGCTGAAAAGTCAAGAAGACAGAAAAGTGAGTAGTGGATCTGGCGAGCTGGAGGTCAAGGTGACCGTGACCAGAGCTTCAGTCAAGCGGTGAAGGTAGCTGGCTGACAGCTGGAAGGTACATTGGGCACAGGTGACAAGGAGCCAGGAGAAAGGGAGAAACAGATGCAGTCATCGACCCCACGTGATCGTTACCTTCCTCTGTGCCAGTCGGTTCCTGGGTTCCTGGAATGTCCGGGAATCAGCCAACCTGACCTTGAGCATCTATACTGTCCCTCGATGGTGGTTCCATTACAAGAAGTTTGTGCTTCCTCAGCTCTAAGGAAGTAGCAACAATACATATGTAAACCACCCCAGTGAGCTTTCATTGCATCTTCTCAGCTGCTGCTCACAGCCACCGAATCTGGGTGGTCGGGACAGGGTTTAGTGCCCCACCCCTGACCTCAGAGCAGCCCAGGAGCCTGCCCGGCATGGCAATAGCAGCAGAACCAGGCCCCAGGTGATGCTCCCACTGTGCTGTGCCAGTCACCGAGGTGTCTCTCAGGACCAGAGCAGCCGACCCTACCCTTCTCGTGAGAAGGAACAGGTGTAAAGAAACAACAGAAAGCAAGATCACGGGCCAGGTGTGGTGGTTAGCTGGCATCTTGTGCTTTCGCTTCCCCTACGGGCAGTACCTGAGGGACTCAGGACCAGGCAGGGAAGCAGATTCTAAGGGTAGAGGCTACACAGTCAGGATGTGTAAACAGGAGGGAGCGCACTTCTCAGTGCTGGCCACGGCAGGGGGCGGCTACAGGCTAACGGTGCCGGGAAGGGGTATAGAGTGGCTTCCAGCTCATCCTCAGAGGGTCCCAGGATTCAAAGTGTTAAGCAGAACCTCTCTGAACAACAATCGCTCCAGGGATGTTTCGGGTAAACCTCTACATCTGTGTGAAAAACAACGAAGCTCAAGTGAGAAACTTTGATTTCTTAAGGTTGGCAAGCCAAGTATACATAGTAAGGACGTCACGGTAACCAGTATGTTTTCAAAGTTTTTCTGAAACTGACTAGCCCCACACACTTCAAGTTGGTTAATAGGATGATCAACATTTTATAAAATTAAAACTGCAGAGGGTCTATGATCACAGCCACCCAGAAGGGAAGCAGGAGATGGTGAGGCTGGGCCAGGCCTTTCCACACACTGGCTATGGCAGGACCGATCCGTCTCTCCTGGGCCCCAGGGTCCTCCTTGGTAAATCCAGGACACAGGCTCAGGGTCCCACCCTGCCTGATGGACTCTGATCCGCCCCTTCTGAATCAGAAGTCAGGTCCAGCTCTGGCCAGGGCAGCTGGGATCTGATGTGGCTCTTGTGTTTATTGCTGGTGTCAACCCACCCTTGCAGAGGGAGGGAATCAGGTGTGAGATACTCAGCTTCAGAGGAAATCACAGTGTCCTTTCTCTCTCTCCAGCTGGAGCCAGTGGGCCATAAGACAACCTCCAACAACTTCACCCACAGCCGAACCAAACTCAAATGCCCCTCTCCTGTGAGTAATGTCCTAACATCCGGCCTGTTCCATCCAGCGTGAAACAGATGCCTAGGGGGCAGGGGTCCCTGAGACCTAGAGGCTCAAAGGAGTTCCCTGGGAGCTTTATCATCACGCAACTGCCATCATTCTCCATTCTCACCTCTCCTCCTTGTCCCTGAAACTTCACAACTCCTCGGGGTGTGGGGGAAAGCAGCAGGTCCGATGGAAGAGGCACTCAGGGGAGGCAGTTGAAGGGGCACTGGTGGGGGAGGGGGTGCTGTGCAGAAAGAAGTAAGACACCATGTCTGCTGGGGAGCGCAGGTTCCTTTTCATCCCATCCCAGCACATCCTTTCTTCCCTTACTGCCCTCACCAGGATGGCTGACCAAGCTCCTAACATGGTCCCCAGCTCTCCCCTCCTTTCCCTGCCCTCCTGTAACCGCTGCCAGGCACTACACAGCCTCCCTGGAAAGTCACTCTAGTCTTGTCAAGGCTGCTTGAAACCTTTCCCTGGTCCCACTGGAGCATCCAGAGGGGAGACCCAGCTTCCTCTATCGCCTTAGACACACTATGTTCCTGGAGAAAGGATCAGCTGCCCAGCCAAGCCCCACAGTTGCCAGGTCTGTGCTTTCACTCTGCCACCTGCTCCTCCCAGAGGCTCATCCCCATCTCTGCCTGCAGGAGAAAGCTACACCCTGTAAGGCTCAGGTGCTGCCCTCCCTGGTCTACTCTCCTGTCCCCTCACCCTAAGGCTGCTGCCTCCAGCACGCATCCATGTTCGTCTCTTTTCTGTTCACACTTCTCAAAAGACTGGGACTGAGTCTCCTTTGTGATGTGATTGTCTCTGAACTTGGCCAAGACCGTGAGAGTGGTCACGTTCTCGGCACTCTCTCAGCTCCTACACAGGACTCCACACTCCTGTGCACAGAGGAAGGAGAGAATCCAGGGAGGCAGGCCTGAATACCTCCTCTTCTGGCCCTTCTCACGCTCGGGTCTCAAACCTACCACAGGACCAGCTGTCCTTTCACACTGACTGTCGTCCCTGCTCACAGGCACTCCTAGGATGGGGGAATGGGGACAGCTGTCCAGTGGTAGCCTTGAAGAAACAGAGGTGGGGGCTCTGCAGCCCCCAGGACTCTCTCCCTCTGGTCGCCTGTCAGTTCCCAATCTCAGTATCAGGTAGACAGGGAAAAGAGATACAGGTGAGAAACTAAAAGGAGGTTATAGCTGGGTATTGACCACTTTGGATACCCATCCGCGTTCGGGAGGTTTGAGCACAGTGTCGATGAAGGATGAGCAGAGAAAATGTGCGAAGTTATTGCACGATTGTCCCCCGGGGCTAGGGACTAAGCGAGCCCAAGGTGGGCAGAAGGATGGTTTTCAGAGGCCCATAACCCCTGACCCTCTCTTCCTCCACAGGAGAGCCCTTACCTCCACACCCTGAGGAATAGTCAGCTACTCCAAGACCATTCTGAAACAGGCCCCACGGTGCTGTCCTGGGCCTTGCCTGTGGCGGCAGGAGGTGGCCTTGCACTTGGTGTCGGCGCGGTGATGGCATGGAGAGCCATAGGAGGTCGCCAGCGGGAAAATCCTCCAATGAGCCTCAACACGATGAGATTCTAGGCCTCCAGCCATGGGCATGCACTCATCCCCAATTCCCCAGCCACACTCCTCACCAGCCGTCTACCTCAGCCACCTTGGCCACCAGAGAGCATTTGCTTCGTCACCTGGTGACATAGGAAGCCAAAGGGACAGTCACGACTCCTTGGGGCCTGGAGCCTGTGCTCCTGGAATTGCCTAATTTAAATAAAGGCCAAAGTCATTCTATTCTTGGGTTAACCTGCTTGAAGCTCTCGCTTTCCATCCATTGTGCGACACAGGTGTGGGAGCTGGAGCCTTTCATGTCCTGCCTCAGCCAGAGCTGCCCAAGTGATGGCCAACCAGAGCCCCGCCTGGCACCCGATGAACATATCGCCAGTCACCAAACCCACTATGGAAAAGGTGGGGAAAATGCTGGCCACCAGGTGCTGGCTAGAATATAGTGGGGCTGGCTGGCCACCATTCACTCCAACACATAGCTTTTCTACACCTGTTTTGTACCCAGGACAATGTAGTGCACAGTGATACTTGCAAGGCTGTGCGTGCCACCAACTCCTTCAAAAGACAAACTCCTTCAAAAAAGCAAGAAGCTCATGACAAGGTACAATTCTGTTCCTGGGCATTGGTAGGTAAAGGTGCCTGATGCCTCTGAGAATAGGAAGAGTTCTTTGGGGAAAGTTATTATCTGGAAGAGAGAAATTTTGAAATGCCTTTAAAAAAAAAAAAAGGATTGGGACTTAAATACTTTATTTACCTTCACCTGATTTTCTCAAAGTGCTAACTTTAGGAAAGAATTCCTCTTTCTACGTTACCAGATGGTGGAGAGAGCACTAGAGAGAGGCTGAGAATATAGGCTGCATTCCTTGAGCCCCTGAGCTGGATGTCTTATGCAGATTCTCGTTTATTCTGCACAAAATCCCAGGGAGGAAGGGATGAAAACTAAAGGTGGTAGTTGCACAACATTGTGGATGCCCTTGCTCTGAATGCCATTGAACTGTTCACTTTAAAATGGCAAATCGTAGGCCATGTGAATTTCACCTCAGTAAAAAATGAGAGATTTCCATTATCATCTGCATGCCAAGGACCTCCCTGATCCCAAAGATTGGGGTGACCAAGAATGTGAGTTAGAATCCCCAGGCATACCATTTGAATGAGGGGCCTTCAGAGCAAACCCAACATCAGCCTGGGCCCTGGTTTCTCAGATATTTCATCTGTAAAACGAAAGTCCTCATTTTTGCCTGGTTCACAGCACTGCTGGGGGGGGGGCGGCATATAAAAATGCTCTGTAACTCTAAAATACTACATACATAAAAGGGGGTTGTTGTCTCGTCTGTGAAGAGTTGAGATAGGGTTCAGATGGTCAGGGAAGTGGAGAGGTTCAGAGACGAGTTGGGGAATTGGGCAGTCACGTACCAACAAAGACTGCTTGTCTTCCATTCGTGAAGGTCCACTATCTTATCTCTCCGGCACACAGAATGAGGTCCCCGGAGAACCTCGATCCAGCCCCAGGGTTCATCTGGTCTCCAATTTCGGTTTCTGTACTATGGGAACAGCATACCTGCCCCCCCCCCCCCCATTCTTCCTATGGACCAGAAAACGTAGTGACTGAACCATACATTCCTAAAGACCCACCACATTCCGGCTTGTGCTCCTGGCTCACCACAGTTAATAGCAGAGAGCCCGTGAACTCGAAGAGCCCAGTGCCACCATGCGCCTTTTTCTTCTTTCTCAAGTAGCTTCCTCCAGTAGCTCCCACCTCAAAGAAGCATGGAATTCATAATCACACATCTGTCCTCACACTTGGGTTGGAATTTATACTACCCGAGTGATCCAGGAGTCCCCAGTCTGAAAAACTAACCCCCCAAAAAGTAGTCCCAGGCTGGTGCCCAAGGAAACACTCGGCACAAACAGAGACACAAGCATGAGCCAGGCCCTGAATTCCCACTGAATGCGTAATAAAAAGCCAAAAACTTTAAGTATGTGAGAGTAGCTACTTGTACCTCGTAGAAGTGTGTATACATTGGATATGTGGCATCTTCTACGGGAAAATGGCCAGTCTAGTTAGGACGACACCCATTGCCACACCATGAATGAAACCACCAAATTCTGAGAATGCTGTGCTCCACAGTGCTCTCCACAGAGGGTTCTGAATTCAAAAGAGTAGTGTGGATTAAACTTGGTCAAAAGCCTTCATAAAGAGCATGGAACTGTGAGCTCTGAAGGATGGCGTGAGAACTTGGTTAGAGGCCGGGGGGAAAAAATGGTGGCGTTGAGACGAGGCAAACTCCATCAAAGCGGAGAGACAAATGAGCGTGGTGTGCACGGCGGGCAACAAGCAAGCCAGAAAAACGAGGACGGAGGAGGATCGGGGGGCACCCTGGAAAGGACAAGGAGTTTGTAATGACTAGACTTGTAACGGTTGTAGTATCAGGCTGCATGGGATTTGGGAACGTAAATGTTACCGGCAAAAGAATAGCGCAAAGAAAATAATACCAATAAAAGCTGACAGGGTGTTCACACTATGAGGGACACCATGGCACAGGGGAATTAAACTGCAAATCCCTATTCTCCTCTTTTCACAGAGGGGGAAACCCAGACTCAGAGAAGAGGTGGCTGGCCCAGAGTTATACTCACATTACAGGATGGACATTCATCAAAATGAATACTGGTGTCCAGGGTGGGGGAATACAAAACATGTGATTCTAGAAGTGAAGTAGGCCAAATTGTAAACGAATATGTCGTAAAATAAAAATCTAGAAAGGGGGGATATTATCTTACCGAGGCTGTGATGACACCATGAGTTCCTCTGCTTCCAACTGGTCTGAAGGAGTCCGCCATCTCTAGTTAAAAAAAAAAAAAAAATCTATCATTTTAAAAACTACAGGGACTAAGATTTATTTTGCTAGAGCACGTGTGGAGTTCTAGCAGTGAGCAAATCTTTTAATTAAAAAAAAAAGCAAAAAATGAAGACAATGGCTCTGAGAATTTGTAGACACAAATGGAGGTTTTACATAACAGCAGTATTGAAGACAGACCATAAATATGTCTAGAAAGATTAAAGGCAAAGGAATTTAAAACATGAAACTAGAATAAGTCGTTATTTCTTTTAAAAAGGCAGAAACTGGAGTGCCTGGGTGGCTCAGTTGGTTAAGCATCCAACTTTAGCTCAGGTCATGTTCTCACGGTTCATGGGTTCGAGCCCCACGTCAGGCTCCGTGCTGACAGCTCAGAGCCTGGAGCCTGCTTCAGATTGTGTCTCCCTCTTGCTCTCTGCCCCTCCCCTGCTTGCACGCTCTCTCTCCCTCTCTCTCTCTCAAAAATAAACATTGAAAAAAACTTTAAGGCAGAAACTAAGAACCAAATAGAATTCCTAGAAATAGAATATATTGTTATTAAAGAAAAATAAACTTCAGAAGTGTTCAAAAACAGATCACTTCTTGAAACAACATTTTTGCATATTTACTGTGTCCTAGGCACTGTTTTAGCAGTCCATCATTAATTCTCACAACAGCCCAATGAGGTAGACACAGCTATTATCCCAACCTTACAGAGATAACTAAAGCAGATTCTATGTTTATTCAGTCTCTTTATAAGAATGAAATGACATTTAACACAATAGTTTAAAAAAATAGGTATTCAATAATTAACTCCCTTCCCATATCAGTATTAGTTCTAGTACATTATTCAAGGGGCTTTATAAAACAACCATAGTAATGAAAATATATTTGGTCCCTTATAAAACACTTCATCTCCTCTGATCCTCACTACAGATGTGGAAGCAAAGTACAGTATCGTTAAGAAAAAATAACCCAAACTTGGAGAGAAGACAGAAGAGGGACCATTTGTCCTGTCAATTTAACAAGTTTAACAAGCTCATCTAAGAAATACTTAGTTATCTAGAATATACCTGCATTTGACTTTGCTACACTGTTTCATTAGAGCCCAGACACTGAGAAGTTCTGTTGACTGTTGGATTTCTGACTGATAAAAAAAAAAAAAAAAGTCACCTAAGTTTACAGTTTTATCACTCTATAGGACATTAACCAGTTTTACATCTATTAGCAACATCATTTCAACATTTCTGTGACCAATAATGTAAATTTCCATTGCCCAAATTCTCCCTTGAGCCAGACTTAACTATCCACATGATTCCTTCATCAATTACTCAGTTAAACTCTTTGACAGGCATTCATCCTATATTTGCCTGAAAATCATGTTTTTAACTTTTGAAACATTAAACAAGAATGACTTTGGGGGCGTCTGGTGGCTCAGTCAGTGAAGCATCCGACTTCAGCTCAGGTCATGATCTCAGGGTCTGGTTCGTGGATTCGAGCCCTGCGTCAGGCTCTGTGCTGACAACTCAGAGCCTGGAGCCTGTTTCGGATTCTGTGTCTCCTTCTCTCCCTGCTCATGATCTCTCAAAGATAAACATTAAAAAAAAAATTTTTTTTTAAAGAACGACTTTTAAAATAACTAAAGAGAAAACATTTTTTAAAATTAGAAAGTATATAGAACCTAAGGATATCCTAGAAAAAAACTAGTAAGATTGAACAAGAGGAAATGGACAAGCCAGTAATTCCATCTCTAGGAGACAGTTCCCAAAAATTCATTTGCAAATGCATCCCTCCAGGGAGATATGTGCAAGAACACACACAGCAATGTTTCATAAGGACAGTAAAACCAGAAACATGGAGATCAATGCCCATCAATGGCGGATTGGGAAAATAGCTCATGGTATATTAATAACCTGGAGCATTTATGCATCAGTGAAAAATCAACCACGACAGCTGCATTCATCAACTTGGGTGAGTCTTACATATAACGTAGAAAGTTTTACAAAGAATGCATGTGACAGGATTCCATTTAAAAGTGGAGATAGGTAGCAAACGTGGTAAAGGAAGTCAAAGTAACGAGACCATAAAAGTCAGTAAAATAGTTACCTTTGAAAGGAGGGGGATGGTGATGAGGAGGGACCCATGGAAGGCTTCTGAGACATAAGAATTGCTATTTCTTAGCATGAGCTTGCTTGATAATTATTCTTTAAACTGAATTGACATGGATTTCAGGCTTTTTCTATGTATATTTCATCATTTTTAAGTTAAAAAAAAAATGGAAGAACTAAATTAAGTTGCCTATTTATTCGGTGACCAGTGGGAGGGAGCCGTTTTAGGCTCTCAAGCCTGAGGATATGCCCAGGAAAACCTTGGTTTTCCCAGCCAACATGGAAAGGCTGTTCCAAG